CAGTCTGGGAATGAGCAGGAACAGTTGATTTGCATGGCAGACATGGAGATCCAGATTTTTTGTTTGTTCATTTGTTTTTAATATTCAACAGGCAAAGTTCTTCTGTATCTAAATGCAAAATTGTTCATAATTGTTTGAATAAAACAGACTACTGGGGGAAAAAACTGAATATTCAACTTGTGGCCATCTTGTGATTTATTTTAACAAAAGCAACAATATAATAATTGTAATAATAATAACAATTTATATATATATACTGTATATATATATATATATATATATATATATATATAGGTCAGTGGCCCTTGGCTTGGTATTGTTGGCAGAATTTGGCCCTCGGCAAAGACTAATTGAGGAACCCTGCTCTACACTGTGGTTCTGGACATATATTTTTATCATTTGGTCATCGTTTGATGAATTAAGAACATTTTACATGGTATGCAGCAATTGCAAGTTAATTTTGAATCTGAGAGATGGGACCAGTGTCGGCTTGCGTTCACAAGAGTCCAGGCACTTTGTGATGCACAACTACTAGCGGTGCATACTGTGGAAGATTAAAAAGTTGTTTTTTTTCAACTAATGCGTGTCATTGATCAATCAAAATTTAGTATAATCACGACCGTTACAGAGTCAAAAAATAACAAGGAAGAAGATATAATACTCGCTGTTGTTGATTTTCATGAGCTCAATTACACCTAAACGTAACATACAAAAATGTAATATTCATACAGTAATTATCCTTGATGAAATATTTTCACTCACTAGTATACAGGTGCATATCAATAAATTAGAATGACATGGAAAAGTTCATTTATTTCAGTAATTTTGAATTACTGAAATAAATGAACTTTTCCACAACATTCTAATTGATTGAGATGCACCTGTAAGCACTTCCTTTTTGTACACATCAGAAAAAACCTGCCGTGTACCATGTAAAACGCCATTCACTGTAGCCATGATTAATGATCAATAGAACATGCGCACAAACAGCTCTTTTCAATTAAATTATGAGAGGCAAACAGCTTTTTTGTGAATAAGGTGCATCTATAACGAATATAGTTTACATAGAAAAAAATAAATGCACAAGAGAGCATGGTTAAATGCACAATACTGCATGGTAAAAACACATTTTTGTGCTAAAATTGCCATATCACAGAAGTTGTGCAATTCATTAGTGAATTTACCCACTTTTTTATCTGCATTTTTTTGGAAGGCACTTGAAGTTGAACAGAAGGCACATGTGGTATATTAAGCTTGACTTTCAGATGAAGGTAAATACAAGTTATCTTAAACATTTTGCATGTACCTCTGGCTATGTGCAGAGGTATCCAGTGCTCTGCGGGGAGGTGTCGGAGAGCCCTGCTCTGTCACACTCAGTACCTCCAGACTCTTTCTCTCCGGCCGACAACGCCCATGACGGGTCAACATGGGCGAGTCCACCCGCTTACGGGGAGGATCTGATCACACAACCACAACCACAAACATACACTCACTGTAACACAAACATCGACTGTGTACTCTTCATGAACAAGTCACATTACGAACCTTACTATATCCATGATGGAATCTAAGGTTTGTTTTTATATATATAACTATATATAAAATATACAACTGCAATGCAGCAGTGATTATCTGTATTACAGTGTTAGAAGGGAAATTAGCATAGAAGCTGAAAAAGTAGTCCCTTCAATGTGTTGATAAGAGTCAGAAAGCTTCTAAGCAACAGGGTTAATTTTACCTGGATACAACGTGCTGCATGAGAGATGAATCATGCCATGACAGTGAAATGATGGACAGTAACGTATTAGGGTTGCATGATTTGGTCATAAAATCGGATTGCAATTATTTTCTCATATTTTGACAAGATTCTGTAAGATTTGCACTGCAGTATTTCAATGGAAATATATTTCCATCCTAATTTCTTTACTTTCACATGTTAAACTTTCAAGCCTTTATTTTGCTGGAAAACTGCTTGTAATGATATAATTACATGAATATAACAATGTAACAAAATGTTGTTGTTCTCAGTGCACGACTTTTAGATTTTTTTTGATAAGCAAATTTATTTTGATTATTTACATTTTTATTTCAATTAATTGTACAGCCCTATAAGGGCGAGACATGCCTTTCAAATAATAAGCCTCTTAATAAACAAAATGTATGCAAGTAAATGGAAAATGTCAAAAATCATGTCAGCATGGGTGCCAGATTGACAACTTTTCATTCATTTGTTCTGTATACATTAGGAAGTCCATTTCTGATCCAACCTGCAGCACCTGCTCTCATACTCGCTACGCTGCCCTAACAACCACATGCTACGACTTCCCTGTCAACCTCTTAATGATGATGACTCTCTACCTTGAAGTCTCTTTTTAGTCCTGGTCTGGTCTTGATCTGTTTATTTTGGGGAACAAGCCCTCAATATGTTACATTTACAAATCACTGATGTTTGCCTTAGAGCTCTTAAATGAAACTGGCTTACTTTCAGGCTGTAGCGTCTGGAACACTCCAACACACAATATATATTTTGTTAGCTAGCCTAAAGCACCAGCGTGCTTTCTAGGTTACCAACTATTCTCATGGTGTTCTGTGACTAGCTTTGAACATGACAGCAACACACACAAGCCTGAACTGCAAAAGCTCACTCACCAACATCATTTCTGGGTGGAAGATGTTCATCTTCATAACTAGGGTAGCGCTCCTTTCTGTCCAACAGAAGATAGTAGATCAACTTCTCCTGGTTTTCTCTGGGAAGGGAGAAATGCAAGTCAGAATTGACGTTCATTGTATTGACAAAAGCATTCTTCAAAATATCTTCTTTTGGGTTTTACTGAAGAAAGTAAGTCATACATGATTGGAGTGAGTAAAATCATTTTTTGAGTGAACTATCCTTTTAAGGTCCCTTTAAGTTGTATCTTGTTTGAAGTACAAATCCTTGAAATCTTGAGTTTGTGCACTATTCTTTTCTGAATTACAGGCTAAGATGTCACACAGACAGAAGTTCAGACTCACTCTTCACACTGCAGGTCTCTGGTGAGCTTGACACGGTCTCTGAAGCAGCCCAAGGAGTGCATGCTCTCCAGAACATCAGGGTCCAGATCTGTAAGAGACAGAATCCTCTTCACACACACACGCCTCGGGGGTGGCTGCTCTGGACACGGCTCGTTTCTGCCCCCTCTGAGACAGAAAGACACACAGACACACAAGCAAATCACAGCACATGTGGAGTGCACATGTGGGCATTACATACAACATAAAAAATAAAATCCACTTTTAATTGAATAGTTCTGTGTAACACAGAAGGAGAATTCTTGCACTGCATAGTGACCTTGACTGACAAGTTCAAAAAAAGACAAAGAAAAGGCTATATTCCAGATCTTCAAGTGACATACAGTATGACAGCGTTGTGTGAAGAGCAGACCCAAGTTTATGTTGTTATTTCTGCTCGTACTGTGTACATATGACACAAGCCATCATGTCAATGACGTTTGATCATGAGACGTTTGAAAACCCATGACATTTGATGATGTCATTGACATGCAACCTGATGCAATATTTGGCTGAATGCTAGACTGGATGGCAAGATTTTTATTTAAAAGCAACATTCAGTCTGACTGTTGCATAGTATATTTTGGAGCTTGACAGACACACTATAAAACTGTTGATGTATGAAAAAGTGCCACTCGAATATTTTTCAAATTCTCCTTTTGTGTTCCATGGAAAAAAATAACAGCATACAGGTTTGAAATGGCATGAGAGTCAGTAAATAATTATCTTTTCTGAACTGTTCACGGTACCTCATGATACTTACTGATACCAGGGGTGCTTTTGTATTTCTTCCAACTGAGAAAAGAAAAAAATCAAGAATTATCATAAACATTCCTTGGCAATAAAAGTATCCTTCTTATACACTAAGAAATTAATACTTGTATTCAGCAAGGATGCATTAAATTGATAAAGTGATAAAAAAAGTGTTAAAGATATATATATAATGTTCATAATAGAAAACAATTATTTCAAATTCTAAGATTATTTCAAATTTATAACTGTTTTTACTGTATTATTGGTCAAATAAATGCAGTCTCTTACCAACCTCAACACTTTGAACGGCAGTGTATATGCAATTTCTATATAGGTGCATTGAGTTTCGTGTTGCATACCGTGAAGCGTTTCTCAGGGTTAACCTCAATCATGCCACGGAGGAGAGCCTGGCAGTCTGGAGGAATGAAGTGAGGCATGTGAAATACCCCACTCTTCACCTTCTCCAACAGCTGACGCAGGTTATCATGGTCAAAGGGCAACGCTCCCTGTGAGGTGAAATGTTACAATTCACACACATTTCTGAGTGCAACCAAGAGCATAAAGCCTGCATTATCCCTACAATCAATGGCAATTTTGAGACATAAAACATTTATTTTCCAGCCACTGACAGTTTTAATAAGGCATGTAAGGAAGGTATTAAATATGGGGAAAATGTTGGAAATGACAAATATAAGACGCAGCAAGCTTCTCACCACCAGCAGAGCAAAGAGAATAACCCCACAGCTCCATACATCTGCCCGACGTCCATCGTATTTCTCTCCCTGTGAATAAAAAAAACAAAACACTAAGTACAGATAAGCACTGGTTGTTTTGTAAAATATGAACCTATGAGACTTATATGTTAAAACATATGGTGCTTTTGCTCTTAGAGCTTCGTCCTTACCCTGATGACCTCAGGACATGCATAATGGGGTGATCTGCAGATACATAATATAGAGCATTTACACTTCATCATCATTAATACAGTATTAAAAGCACACAAACACAAACTACTGACCCACAGCTGGTCTCCAGCAGACTGTCCCCAACCTGTAGGGAGGCCATGCCAAAGTCAGCAATCCTGATATTATTCTTCTCATCAAGCAGGAGGTTTTCAGGCTTAAGATCTCTGTGGCTGGAAAAAAAATGCAATGACAACATTGTAATATACTTTTGTATATTGTAATATTTTTCCTGAAGTATCTGAAACCACAATTATTTTACAGAGTGAGAAAGACCTTTGAGAAAGGTCTGAGAAATAGATTTTTTTGTGTAGCATACTCTGCAGTACATGTAACAAGAATAAATCACAAAGTTTTGTAATACATATACTTGCTTTATTTGTTTTGTTTTTTATTTTTTCAACATTCAACATACGTTCAATATGCAAAAAAAAAAAGTTTGGGGTTGGTAAGATTTGTTAAATGTTTTTGAAAGAAGTCTCTTAATATGCTCACCAAGGCTGCATTTATTTGATCAAAAATACAGTAAAACAATAATATTATTACCATTTAAAGTAACTGTTGTCTATTTGAATATATTTTAAAAATCTAATTTATTCCTGTGATGGCAAAGCTGAATTTTCAGCATCATTACTCCAGTCTTCAGTGTCACATGATCCTTCAGAAATCATTCAAATATGCTGATTTGCTGCTCAAGAAACATTTCTTATCAACGTTGAAAACAGTTGTGCTGCTTAATATTTTTGTGTAAACCATTATACATTTTTCAGGATTCTTTGATGAATAGAAAGTTCAAAAGAACAGTATTTATTTGAAATAGACATATTGTATAACATTATAAATGTCGTTTTATCAATTTAATGCACCCTTACTGAATAAAAGTATTAATTTCTTTAAAAACAAAAAAAACAATCTTACTGACCCCAAATTTTTTAACAGTAGTGTATCTGTGTACATATAAAGTAACCCATATATTGAATATACCATATACCATACCATATACCCTCATATTCCTAAAGTCGCAGAAATATTGGAAAAAGAAATATGCACGTAAAGGAATCAGTGTGTGCAGCACATTAAATAAAAAGGTAAAAAGAGACATTTACCATATAGAGTGACTGTGACAGAAGTCCAGAGCAGATATGATTTGTCTGAAGAACTTTCGAGCCTCTTTTGGCGTCAATCTGCCTTTCTTTACCAGGTAGTCAAATAGCTCCCCACCAGATACATGTTCCAGCACTAGATACCTGAGAGAATGAGAAAGACATTTATGAAACAAATGCACAGAGATAGATACACATGAAATGGTACACACAAGCACACCTCTAAAGAATGCAGGATGTAAGTCTGGACAAGACAAGACAAGACAAGGCCATACATGCTTCAGATGTGTGGAGAAACAGCAGTACTTACAGATATTTGTTATTCTCGTACACATCATACAGTTTTAGGACATGAGGGTGCTCTATTAGTTTAAGAATAGCTATCTCTCTCTCCACCTGCAGAAACGGGGAGAGCGAGGAACACTGAATGAGAGTTCAATAGGGAAAAGGAGCAACCTTGATGTAGGAAATAACCAAGCAAAGATGATCACTCTCAATTAAAAGTGAACCAATATAGTCAATAGAGTAACAAGAGTCCGACAATCAACAGTAGACATGGACAAAAATGACTTAGCAGGGAGAGTCTTGCATTTGTTTAGCACAGAACATTAGGGCAGATGCAGCAAATACTGTGGTTAATAAAGCAGTTGGAGTTATGTAGCTGCTGTGTTATTGAAGAGTTACTGTAAATAAGAAAATGCTGCATAAGCAGGAGAACTGAGAACTGAGAACTTTTAGACATTTCCGTTGTAAATTCATTGTATGCAAAACTTACTTTCATAAGAACAGACTCTGATAGCTTTTCTCGGTTAACTATCTTTATGGCCACCTTCTGTCCTGTGATACAATGAATTCCTAACTTCACCAGACCTGCAAGAGGAACACAGATGGTCATTCTTCATAGAAGCATTTTAAAAGTGGACAACATTAAAATCCAGACGAGATGCACTTGTAAAAATGGAAAAGTAGACAACATATGGCTGCAACTTTTAGACTGCACAATTTTAAGTAATCAATTCCCATTTCCAAATTATTACACTTGGAAAAAAAGCAGCACTAACAAAAACACTCCAAAAAAAAAAACACCAGTCCTAAAAACACCAGTACATACTGCTCATATAGACAGTCACATAAATCGTTAATGGACACCCTCTTTTACTTGCCAAAAAACAGTCTACTTCCTAATGTATGTAGATCTATATCACTCTTGTGCACATTCATATCCTATTTACAATGTACTGACAAACAGAATCTGTCTGGCCTTTGCATTCAGAACAGATCGGTGACAAGCAATTGTTATACCTTAAAACAAACTAGTATCCAGGTTTACAATGACTAGTACCTTTGTTAATAACTAGTAATCTAATAAAGATTGGAATCATTTTCAATTTTACTAGTAACATTTTACATTAGTATATTACTTATACTCATTTCTTTACTAGTTGCTTTACCTGTTTCATAGTTACTGGTAACAAATTGCAATTTGTTGCAAATCTTGTATGTATTTAAGTTGTTACTTGTTTCATTGAACTAAATTAGCTGACTATTCATTACCAACAACACTGTAAAAATGTAATACCTAGTGAGAAAATAAATGTTACAACAGTTGGGGAAGTTTCAAGTTTCCCATAAATATGCACCAATATCAAATAAATGAGCACTAGCAAAACTACTAGAATAGATATACTAACTATTGAAATAACTAATCAGGACTAGAATCTATTGAACAGTTACTAGTAAAACTAGTTTCCAGCTACAATGGAAAGTGAAAAGTTGAACCACAGTTTCCTTTAGAATTCAGTGGCAAATTGTGCGATTTGTTACAAGTAATAATGGAATATATGTCTGTCTCTAATGCAATAGCAAAAGTGTAAGTACAAGTAACTAGCAATCTGGAATAACTGAATAGATACAGGTGCATCTCAATAAATTAGAATATCGTGGAAAAGTTCATTTATTTCAGTAATTCAACTCAAATTGTGAAACTCGTGTATTAAATAAATTCAGTGCACACAGACTGAAGTTGTTTAAGTCTTTGGTTCTTTTAATTGTGATGATTTTGGCTCACATTTAACAAAAATCCACCAATTCACTATCTCAACAAATTAGAATACTTCATAAGACCAATAAAAACATTTTTAGTGAATTGTTGGCCTTCTGGAAAGTATGTTCATTTACTGTACATGTACTCAATACTTGGTAGGGGCTCCTTTTGCTTTAATCACTGCCTCAATTCGGCGTGGCATGGAGGTGATCTGTTTGTGGCACTGCTGAGGTGGTATGGAAGCCCAGGTTTCTTTGACAGTGGCCTTCAGCTCATCTGCATTTTTTGGTCTCTTGTTTCTCATTTTCCTCTTGACAATATCCTATAGATTCTCTATGGGGTTCAGGTCAGGCGAGTTTGCCGGCCAATCAAGCACAGTAACACCATGGTCATTGAACCAGCTTTTGATACCTTTGGTAGTGTGGGCAGGTGCCACGTCCTGCTGGAAAATGAAATCCGCATCTCCATAAACCTTGTCAGCAGAAGGAAGCATGAAGTGCTCTAAAATTTCCTGGTAGATGGCTGCATGCATTGAAGCAGTAATTAAAGCAAAAGGAGCCCCTACCAAGTATTGAGTACATGTACAGTAAATGAACATACTTTCCAGAAGGCCAACAATTCACTAAAAATGTTTTTTTTTTATTGGTCTTATGAAGTATTCTAATTTGTTGAGATAGTGAATTGGTGGGTTTTTGTTAAATGTGAGCCAAAATCATCACAATTAAAAGAACCAAAGACTTTAACTACTTCAGTCTGTGTGCACTGAATTTATTTAATACACGAGTTTCACAATTTGAGTTGAATTACTGAAATAAATGAACTTTTCCACGACATTCTAATTTATTGAGATGCACCTGTATGCCTAGGACAAGTAGCATCGTTAAGGTATTGAAATTGATTGTGAAAACAAAACAGATTCAGGCTTTGAAACAGCACGAATGAATCACTGCCACTCATGACTCAAAAATAAAACGCCAGAAAAATGAAAAATAATCTTCCTCTCTCAAACACTGGCCTGTCACGCCACCGTGCCCCATTACATTTCATCAGCTGAAACACCCCTGCACACACATTAACCGCTTTGCTTATTGCCGAATCAACCTTTCAACAGATTAATTCTTTAATGAGACGCGCGAAGTAGAGCAGAATTTATTCCAATGCATTAACTGAGTGCTAACATCCCAAAGAGGAAATGCTCTTACCTGTCTGGCCCTTCCCCAGCGTCTTTTCCAGTCGGTAGGGCCCGACATACTGAGCTGCCTGACTCCCCGACAACTCCTTACTGGACATTTCGTTCGACAGAGTTTTTGTGTCACAATATAAGCGGGTAAATCAGTGTATTTTCACAATGTATCCACCGGTGCCTGTCCTGCTCACGTAATAGCTCCGCCGTACAGACATCACAGACGGTGAGCGATGACACAGGGATGCTGAGGCGTGCTGTCAGTGCCGTGGCCTACTCCCAAACATCTGCCGTCTCCTTAAAGTTCGTGGAAATGGATCGGTAACATTTTCCGTTCGAAAATATCAAAAATAAACAAGAGTTGCTTGTCCAGCCGAGCCTATACGCCAAACTTCAGCTGTTATTGCGATTTAAACGGCCTGTGGCTGCTGTTGGATGAATGATGAGGGGACACGATTAAATCTGGGCCGATAGGCTACTAGGCTATATGACTACATCAGATAATAGCTGTGAATGACACCAAAACGATTGTGAATATAGAAGACGGGTAAAGATAACAGGAATAATAGGCAGCCTGGTTCAGTCACTAGTTTGTTTTCGCCGGTATCTTTTCTTTCAAACTATATTCATGTAGACTCCCGTTGTTGCCAAACTGCAAGTGACATATGTATTAAAAACTTGGCCACATCTATTCTGAGAAACAACCGCACATCCGGTTTGTGACAATTTATACGTATTATTCTGTCTAAGATTAAGTGAGTCACTGACTCTTCAGTGTTTCGTTTTATTTTAATAAATTGGATGTAAAGGATGAGCGTCCCGACGTGCCTGTTATAAACTACTGGTATCTTCCAGGCCTCACATCCGGAAATATGGGAGAATTGTACGGGAGAAAACAGCCACCCTTTCGCGAAAGAAAGCCTCGGTGTCTTCCGTCACATGAATCCGCCAATTAATCCACCGGGCGCGTGCCAAGTGTACATTGCGCTTTTGTAAGCTACAGTGTTTGCGCAGAAATCGCTTGCTTTATCCGTACGGAACACATTGCTGGTCAAAATACAAGCATCTTCTAACTAGCGTAGGAGCCTCCTCTCCCCCTCCCGCACGCTCGCGCTGGCTATGTGCACATCACAGCATCTTCTCGCGCTCTCCTCCCGTCGCCTCGGCTACCGCGCGTGGAGTCATTCTTTCGAGTTTGCGTTACACTCGCGTGAAACCGCCTGACTTTAATCCGTTCGCTTCGGTTGCCTTGTGACCGCAAGGATAGCAGTCCCTCTGCCAGTGGGGCCTTTCTCTGGTTTCTAGCGTTCACTCTCCCTGTATTCCTTCTCCCCATCCGACACGAGCAGCATCAGCATCCGGGTTCTGCGCTGCTTGCGTCCCCTCCCTTACGCGATTCCCATCGAACAAGCTCGTCATAAACCACACCACCCACCCCATTTCCGCCCGAGAGCACGGTCCCTACATTATTGAACTCATTCCGCACATTATTGTCATTGGGCAGCATCTATCCATTTTTTTTATTAAATATTTTCAGATAATTTGTTATCATAATATTTATGGACTAGCTGCCCTATCTACACTGTCTTTTTTTTTTTTTTTTACCATTTTTTAAAAAATACAACCAGAGCCTTGCAGGAATATCCATCTTTGATAGTTGTGTTTTTGCACAGTGGTTTTCAGTATTTTTACATTTACATGTATGCGTTTAGCAGACTCTTATCCAAAGCGACTTACAGATCCAACAGTTTTCATAGTTTGTTTTTAAAAATGTATATTAGAGGGGACAAGCTATAGCAGAGAAGAAAAAAGAAATGTAAATGTAAAGAAATGCACTTTTTGCATACTTTCTATTGCTACAATTAAAGCACCATCCATGCAGTTCAATGTGTGAACACAAGGTGGCAGTAGAGACATAGACATAGGGCGTGTTCTGCAGGCAAGAAGTTAGTGAACAATTATCCCAACATAATGCGCATTTATTTGGGGGGTTTCATTTCTTGATCTCACCCAAAAACATTTGGCATAGCGAAATGTTGGGAGTATCTTCTAGTCCAGTCTGTATCAGGTGGTCTTAGTCCAGACAGCAGGGGGCATTGTTCTAGCTCTTTGAGCTCTTTATTGGCCTATATTTTACAAGCGAGGCAGTAACTGTTCATGTATTGTGTTAAAGTGCCAAAATTCAGGGTTTCTAAATAATTGTGTTATCTGACGGAGATCAGCAGACAGCGGTGATTCCTGCAGATTCACCTGGACATGCAAGTCAGCACTTTGCTATTTTCCCTCACATGATGCTTCTCAAGGTCAAACGCATTCAGTGACCTTCCATGCCAAGTTATCCCATATTCCTACCCATCTGGCAGACCTCCAAGTAACAGCGCACCCTCCCTTTATTTTCTTGGAGTCTTATTTATGGCAACCGAAAATATGTCCTCAGCATGGAAGAGGCAGAAGGCCTGGAAATGTGATAAAGCAGGGCTTAAGTGTAACTGGAAAACTTTTCCCGAGTTTGGGCATTTGATATTATGACAAGTAACTAATTAAAGTCAGAAAAAAATAATATGGTAATAAGTTTTATATAGCCTATTTTTATTACATTTCAGGTTTCACATTTTACACTTTTTAATCATTTTAATTTCTATCACTCACTGCATGGGTACAAAAAAATTGCCTATTTTGCATACAGCAAACCGTGAAAGGTGAGTGATTCGTTTAGCATTTGTCTATAACCTCTTTGGTAGGCTAAATGCTTTTTAAAATAAGATACTTTCATTACCATTCACAACTGAATTGTTAGCCGCCATGTTTCGCTTTGACGCGCCCCTTGCGACCTCACAATTCGGATATCGTCTAGAAGAGGAGGGATTCCCAAACTTTTTTGTCAGCCGAACCCTTTTGACCAAAAATATGTACTCGTAGATCCCCCTGAGCTTTTTAGTTAATATTTCAATAATTTAACAACACATAGCTATCATGTTCATGGTTCTGATCAAATATTTTACTGCTCGTTTCTTCTATTATATTATAAAACAATTTATTCATTTTAATTTGATATTTTTACGATTTAATTAATGACTTTTCATCAGCTCACGAACCCCACTCCACTGCTCTGAACAGGTTTAAAAAGTAGTTAGACTGAGATCGTTGCATGAAGATGATCACATTTGATCAATGATTCATTGAAACATAATCATCCAACTGTTCTCTCTGCTTATGCAAGCGTTAAAATTGGTGTGACAAGGCTTTTGCATTGATAATTAGCTTGGATATCTTGTTTTATACTGTTTAAATGACCCCAAAGCATTGTGCTGCATGTGTGAGCATAGTCCAAACCCTGAGGATTTTTATTCTTGGTTACAAGTCTTCACACTTCTAGCTTGTTTGCTAATAGATCAGCTCATGAAAGAGCCTAAGATCTGATTGATTGATTGCCTGATGAGATAAGTGCATTTGGGGATTTGAGTGGGTGTATTTGTGTGCCTCTTAATGAGTCAAAGTGAGGAGTTTAGTCACATTGGAAAGCTTAATCTCCTACTTTAGTTCACCTAAACCCATTACAGAAGCCTTCATAATCCTTGCCTATACAATCCACTTCACTACATCCACCTTAAAGTTTTGGACTTTGGAAACCACAAGGACTCATTAGACGTCACTTTTGGCAAGACAGGATCTTCTAAGCAAGTTAATGAAAGCCATTTTTAAGGAGTTTACTTAAAAACTAAAACAAACATTGTGAAACAAATTCAGTTAGTTACAAATGTTGAACCATTTTTTAAAATCTTTATTCCATTTTGAAAGCATCTGAATCATTTACATCAACTCTCAAACTGTCTACACATCAGATCAGTACAAAAGGGGAGGGGAGGTTGGTGGTTGGAGAAATCCATTTGAGGTTCACGGTGGTGGGGGGAGGTAGAGAAGGAAAGAGACACAAATATGGTCTTTGCTGCCCCAAACCCCATCATTTAGTCCAGTGCCACGAGCTGCAGGGAATGCTGGGAAGGTGGAGGACTCAGTGCAGTAAACCCCTGAAAACAGACAGAAATACAGAGAATCAAAAATCATACATTTCAAATGATAATGAAAAAAGTTGTCTTGATCATGAAGTTACCACAAGACAACCTTAAAACAAAGGGAGCATAACAAATGTGCTTAGGTTTAAACTTTAAACAGTTCAATTAACAACTAATCAACAGTCACGGGGCAGCGAGGTTGTAGTAAAGGGCCCGAAGGCGGCAAATACAAATTGGGTATTTATTCCACAAACACTGAAGAACAGGTAATCCACAAACAGCAGAACGTGAGGTACAGACAATAATAAGCGACAACTCAAACTGAAAGGACAGAAACTTAAAACAAAGACCAAACTAACAGAAACTGTGACGCTAATGTTAGGAATATTAAAATAAATGTTTTTTCCAGTTGACATGATTTCACTTGTTACAATAACAAACATTTGTTGACTGGATTAGTTAATAATACTTAAGTCAAATGAAGTAACGGCTGACTACAATCTAAAATAATTTTCAACAAGAAATAAATTGTCAAGTTAACAGAATTTTAAGGCAGTGAATTAATATTGAATTATTATTGTATTATTTAAAATAAATATAATTTAACATTATAATCTATGTTGGATATTTATTTTTGCATGCTTATTTCCCCCATTACATTTAGATTACATTTGCCATGATACAGTACTCATTCACTTATCTTTACATTTACATTTATTCATTTAGCAGACGATTTTATCCAAAGCGACTTACAAATGAGGACAATAAAAGCAGTCAAAACTAACAAATGAGCAACAATATATAAGTGCAAATGACAAGTCTCGGTTAGTCTAACAAAAATTTTTAATAAAAAAAAAGAAGAGAAAGTAGAATTAAATTAGAATAGAAAGTGCTAGAGTTAGAGGGTCAAATAAAGGTGGAACATATGTGTTTTTAGTCGTTTCTTGAAGATGGCTAAGGACTCAGCTGCTCGGATTGAGTTGGGCAGGTCATTCCACCAGGAGGGAACAGTTAATGAAAAAGTCAGTGAAAGTGATTTTGTGCCTCTTTTAGATGGCACAATAATACGCC